TGTAAGGCAAGGCTAGGTGACTTTGAAAGATGAAATTTGTGATATTTGTCTTTGATTCAGGCACACTACTCTTTTGTGGCTATATGATTTATATAAATCACTTTCTTCTTTAGATGAATATAACCAGATGAGGCTTAAAGTGAGCACATATTAATAGAGTCACTATAGAACATACTATTGAATGTGAGTCTGGATGTAGGCCCTGCCATCATGCACACACAAGGACCATTGATGTGACTGACCTTCTGTGGTTACCCACAACCATCCTGTACTGCAGGCATCTGTGCTAAGATTTCCAAGGTTCAAATGCATGGCACACTCTGGATAAGGGCACAAATCTAGAACCATCTGTCCTCAACACAGATGTTCTCGGGAGTTATGTGAGACAATTCAGCCACTTATTTAATATTACTTTGAGCTGAAATGGGCTCGTTAATTTTCACAAGTTCAACTCAGGACCAAATGCAGAATAAAATCCATCAATTTATATTCTCATCATGTGTATTTATTTAAGCAAGGCCAGGAGCACAATCCCGTTCCTACTTAAAAAAAGACTGTATTTCTTTTTCTTTTGTCTATATTTTCTTGTCATTAACTATAAGAGAATGAGTATGGCCTTTTAGGAATTGTTCTATCGTTATTCTTTCAGATGTCTCCGTGACCATTATAGATAGGTCTAAAGGATAGTCTACCAAATAATTTCTATTATCATAAAATAGTAGCAACATTAAGCCATCAACATTATCATATGAGAAGAATATTTTATATGCAACCATTTAAATCACTAGAAAATTAAAGAATCTTGAAAATAGCAAATTTAGTATCTGAAATGAAATTTTGGTTACAATATTTTCTTAATATTAACAAGATTTAGAGCTAATTTTATAACTATGCCAGTGTGTCCTATCTCTCTCCAGCTATAACCAAATATGTAAAAGAGCACAGAATGGGCTGCAAACAGAGCAACTTCAATTCTTAAAGATGATGAAAATTTCTTGCACCCCTTAAAATTAATGACAACCAGTGAAGTATAGTTGTTTCACAAAATAACCAAGGAAATGTGTTTCTATCAAGTAATGCTTTCCTAAGGAAGATAGCTGTATACTTAATTATATAATAACAGATATATAGATAAAAGGCTGGGTTAGTTGCCTATGAAGATAATGGAAATTATATGTTACAGTTCTTTCAAGCCAACCTATTCATTATTCATTTCACAGTAACTTACTGTGTATCTACTAGCTATGGCCCAAACACCAAGGATGGTGAGCAAAAGAGACACAGACATTATCTTCAAGATACAGTATGAATAGCAAATAATCAGAGATTTATAAGTATATAAAGAGTTTATGATCATAAACAGCAACATTGAGATGAAGAAAAATCACTCTCTGATAGGGAAGGAGAGCAACTCAGTAAAGAGTGAGTTATTGCTGATTGCACGATGTTTTCTTTCACATTAAATGCTTTGCAATGGAAAGGATTCATTGTTTTCGTTACTTCACATCATCCTGTCAGCACTGGAAGAAAATACAGAAACTGAGGGATAGCTAAGCAAATGTACGTGTACAGTGCCTTGCAGAAAGGGACCTGTGTCATCGGAAAGCCAGGAAAATAAGAACGAGGACCAGTTCAGATTGCTAATTTCAGCAAAACAAGTTGCATCAATGGAGCTTGTGGTGGAAAGGAAAACTGGGGTCACAGATGCAAAGACCTGAACGTGAATACTCCAGCCTTTCTCAGAGAGAGGGGATTTTTTATGAGTTTGAATGTGTTTGTTAGAGCTGATATTCCTAGAAGCCTATTCTGGTCACTTTAAGTAAGATGTGAGAGAAAGGAAGAAACAACGTTCATGTATTCCACGTAAGGAAATGTACAATCTGTGGTTTTGTGGGTTGCTAATATGTCTGTGGAGTTGAAATGGAAAATAAATATAGAATATAGTAGAGATTAGCTTATTGCATAGTTATTTGTGTGTGGGTTTGTTTTGAGTGTGTGTGTGCGTGTGCACACATACACACATGTGTATACTCATGTGTAGGTGTGGGTATGTGATAATGTGCAAGAATTAGTTCTATTCTTTAACTATGTGGGTTCTGGGGGTTGAACTCAGGTTGTCAGATTTGATCTAAAGTCCCATTACCCACTTAGTCATCTTGCCAACCCCAGAAACATTTTATGGGCTTTTGTTTTGGTTTGATTTTTGTTTTACTGTAGACCGAATGCTTGCACCACCTTCCTCCAAATTTCCTTGTATTAGTCATGACAAGATCGTGTTTGAAATGGAGTATTCTGAACAGCCCCTACATCATCACGACAGAGCCCCAACAATGGGATAATGCTCTTGAAAGAGGAGACAGGAAATGGTTCCCTTCCTTACTCTTCTGCCTACCAGATGAAGATGCAACGTAAAGAAGGAGATGTGAAAACTGGAAAGCAAGACTTCACAGACATCGACTGTTAGCATCCTGAACTTGGGTCTCCCGGACTCTAGAATAGATCTCTAGCATATGAACCACATTGGTACCCCATTACTCTAGCCATCACTAAACAGGACAGTAACTGATTACATACACAATGCAACCCCTTGGAGAATCAAGCATAAGATTCTGAGGGGAACCCAGAATCTTGTTATATACAAAGCAGTGTATGATAGGGGTGAGCCTGCATTTGAATACAATAAGTCTGAGATGACAATTTCATATCCAATTGAAGTTTATCAGAAAGATAAACTTTTTCTTCCTCAACAAAGGAATTTCTGGTAAAAGAAGCATAGTGAGGGGAGAGAGTTTAGGCAGGGGAGAACATGAAAAGCAGAGTGTCAAGGGAACCAAACTTTAGCAGGCAAGACAAGGTGCCACAGATAAGGGAAATAGAATGATATGAAATCGGCTGAATAAAGAAAGAGTATAGAGAATAATGGAGACTATGGAATGGGATCAAAAGTAACCAATGAAATGAAGTACATGGGGAAAAGGTGGGGTTTGGGATGTCGTAATGATACTGGGTTACGAAGGGCGAGGCTATACTGGTCACTGATTACTAGTTATGCTTCAAAAACTCTAATCAAGTCTCGGGATTGATGAGTTTGGTTAAATGTCTGAGATTCTGGGTAGCGCTATAGCATCTTTTCATTTCTAATGAGGAGACTGTAAATGGCTTCGCTCTTCCCGTGTGTATCTCCCACTTTACACGTCAGCAAATATGAGTGACAAAAAAGCAAGAGAAGAATCTCCTCTCGTCCTCCATCTGCTAATGTGAGTTCTACCACACCTGAAGATGCTCAGGTTACTCGAAATGTCAGTCATAAATAGTGAGTCCAAAGCAGGCCCCAAAGCCGCTGTTTAAGAGCTTTGACCTGTATTTATTGTTTGGGATCCTATGTTTACATAGTATTAGCATATCATTGAGGTTATTTTTTTTATATTGAAAGAAAGAAAAAAAAATGTCCACCTCCTCCCCTCCCCCCACTTCTCTTCCCCTCCCCCACACTCTTCTCCCCCTCCCTCTCCAGTCTGAAGAGCAGTCAGGGTTCCCTGCCCTGTGGAAAGTCCAAAGTCCTCCACCCTCCATCCTGGTCTAGGAAGGTGAACATCCAAACTGGCTAGACCCCCACAAAGCCAGAACATGAAGTAGGATCAAAACCCCGTGCCATTGTCCTTGGCTTCTCATCAGCCCTCATTGTTCGCCATGTTCAGAGAGTCCGGTTTTATCCCATGTTTTTTCAGTCCAACTGGCCTTGGTGAGCTCCCAATAGATCAGCCCCACTGTCTCAGTGGATGGGTGCACCTCTCGTTGTCCTGACTTCCTTGCTCATGTTCTCCCTCCTTCCGCTCCTCATTGGGACCTTGGGAGCTCAGTTCAGTGCTCCAGTGTGGGTCTCTGTCTCTATCTCCATCCATCACCAGATGAAGGTTCTATGGTGATATGCAAGATATTCATCAGTATGGCTATAGGATAGGGCCATTTCAGGTTCCCTATCCTCAGCTGCCCCAGGAACTAACTGGGGACATAGCCCTGGGCACCTGAGAGCCCCTCTAGGTCCAAGTCNAAAAAAAAGAAGCAGACTCACCTAGGAGGAGTAGAAGACTGGAAATAATCAAACTGAGGGCTGAAATCAACAAAATAGAAACACAGAAAACAATCCAAAGAATCAATGAAACAAAAAGCTGGTTCCTGGAGAAAATCAACAAGATTGATAAACCTCTATCCAAACTAATAAAACGCCAGAGAGTGAATATGCAAATTAATAAGATCAGAAATGAAAAGGGGGACATAACCACAGACACAGAGGAAATTCAAAGAATCATTAGATCTTACTACAAAGGCCTGTATGGCACAAAACTGGAAAATGTAAAAGAAATGGACACGTTTTTAGATAAATACCATATACCAAAGTTAAACCAGGACCAGGTGAACAATCTAAATAGACCTGTTAGTCGCGAAGAACTAGAAGCTGTTATCAAAAACCTCCCTACCAAAAAAAGCCCAGGACCAGATGGTTTCAATGTGGAATTCTACCAGAACTTCCAAGAAGACCTAATACCTATACTCCTTAATGTATTTCACAATATAGAAACAGAAGAGTCATTGCCAAATTCCTTTTATGAACTACAGTCACTCTGATACCAAAACCACACAAAGACTCAACCAAGAAAGAGAATTATAGGCCAATCTCACTCATGAACATCGACACAAAAATCCTCAACAAAATACTGGCAAACCGTATCCAAGAACACATTAGAAAAATTATCCATTGAGGTTATTTTTTAAAGATAGATTAATACTATATTGATTCTTAGTGAGTATTAAGATTCAATTCATATATCACAGACTTTCCAAATCCTATCAGAAATAAACTAATAATATATAACATATGGAAATTATTATACCAGTTACATTTGGTTATATACACATATGTTTGTATATTTATACACATATATATCACAGTGCTCACTAAACTTAAACATGTTAAATTATGCAACTATAAATTGGAATACCTGTGGTACCCATCTGGAGGACACAAAACTGGTAACTTCTATTACAGACAAGCCAGTTTGGGAAAGTTGATTGATGAATTCAATTTTTATATCTGTTGGCACTATAACCTAAAAAAAGCCATAAACATATTGTATAAGTAAATTGTATAAGACCTATTGAAGCATAAAGTATTACTTCCTAATTGAAATAAAACGCAATATGCCTTAAGCATTCAAATAGTAACTGCACACAAATATTATTTAAGATATAGAATCTACATATCATTAAAGCTTTAAGAAATTCACTATGTAAAGCTAATACAAACCTACCTTTTCATTCTGCAATCCATCCCTAGGTCCAACTTCTACTATTTTCACATATTCAGGGAATCCAGATAAGTGGGATACTTCCTGAAACGCAAGGCATGAGTGCAAGAAAAAGAGATTACTCGGATTGCCACTCTAATTGTAGAGGCTGGACTAAGAATATCTCTCATAGACTTCGTCCTGGAAACACTTGGTCTGCCGCTGGTCGTGCTATTTCAGGAGGTTAGGAGACGCAACCTTGCTGGAGGAAGCTGCTACCAAAGGCTGACTTTGAGGATTCATTGTCTTGCTCTACATTCAGTTCTCTCTTTGTCTCAGGTCCTGGCCCCATTCCTGCTGCTTGCTGTTGTGCATCATGGTGGAATATTAACCATCTAAACTCTGCAATATACCTTGGTGATGGTGTTTTATTGCTGCAATAGAAAAGGTAACTAATGTAGTAGTTGGTACCGGAGAGGGGGGTGTTGCTGTGAAGAACCTGGTTTTGTTGTAGTGTTTGAGGAATGCTGGGAGTTGGGACTAGACAAGTGAGTAAATGCTGAATGTAGAGATTAAAGCACTAATCTAGTAGGAGCCTAAAAGACAGCGCTGCACATAAAGCAAACTGTAGAAGCCTGGCTCACAAGGCTTCGGAGAAAAGCAAAGACTTTTAACGGCAACTGGGCTAGAGGCCATTTGTGTGATATTTTGGCAAAGAATCTGTGCCTTTCGCCTGTGCACTAAGAATTTAACTGAGGCTAAATTAAAAAGTAATGGGCTAACTTTTTGTCAGAGGAAATTTTAAGACACTATAACATTGAGCCCAAGCCATGATTGATACTGGTAATGTTTATGCAAGTCTACAATGAAATAAGAACAAGTTGGGCAGAAAGAAACACAAAACATACAGTTTGGATAGAAAAAGCACAAGGAAGCTAAAGATTACGGCCAAGGCATGTGCTGGAAGAGAGGCTGTAGCTGTGAAGGCGATTAGCCTGCAGAGAGAAGTCCCTCTCTACACCATAATAAAGGGAAAGACCTCACCCAGCTAAGCTTCCAACTGGTGTCAGAAAGCCTGGGGCCTTTTCTGAGAGCAACTGAATAGAAAGCACCACTGCTAATGTGATTCAAGGGGCCAGGGCCCAACCCAAGCTGGCAGCCTAACTTGGCAGCGTTGTCCACATGGTTTGGGCTTCGGAGACACAGAGAATGAAAGAACTGAAGAGGTCTTGGATTCTACCTCTGTGGTCTCAGAGAGCCACTGAGGCCAGACGGCACCTGGCAGGGGGAGTCCCTTCATGGAGGTCTTCAGAGTGGCGTATGCTTCTAGAGGCCACTACATGAAGTTGTGGAAGGAAAACCTGAGTTGCAATGAAGACCCCACAATGTTGGCAATTTCAGAACCATGGCCTGTCTCCCAAGAACAACTGCAAACGGGAGTGGACCTATCCCAGGAGACGTGTATGTTGCAGGCAGTCAAGCCTGAGGAGCAGACCATCCAACCTATTAGACACCAGACATGGAGCTACAAGACTTGCTAGGTTTTGGTCTTGCTTTGATCCAGTGTTTCCTAACTATGACCCCATTCTTCCTTTCTGTGTCATCTTGTTTGAAGAGTTTAATGTGCTTTTCATTTAAATTGGGGATTATAATGAAGACATTGCCTTGAGTCTCAGAAGAAACTTTGGATTCTTCAACAGTGTTATATTTCAAAAGTGGGGACTTTAGGCATGGACCAAAAGCACTTGAAATATGATACAACGTGGTCAGGGAGTGAAAAGTCATGACTTAAGTGGGAATGTTCCCCACTGGCTCGGGTATTTGAAAACTTGTTCCCAGTTGGTGGTGACATTTAAGAAAGTTTAGATGTGACCTTTGCTGGAGAGAGCATGTCACTGAGGACAGGTTCTGTGAATGTGTGTCCGGTTTGCCCTGTTTCCTGCTTGTAATTGAGGATATGAGCTCTCAGTTTCCTGTTCCTGACCCCATGCCTGCTTCTTGCTGCTAGGTTTCCCATCATGCTGGACTCTTCCTCCACTAGAACTGTGAGTCTGAAAACTCTTCCTTTCAATGGTTTCCTTGACCATCGTGTTTCATCACAGCAGCAGAAGAGTAACTCATACACTAGTTTACTGTTAGAGTTAAATAATTATACTCTGCTAAATAAATTCTCACTCCACAAGGTTAAAACAGCAAGAAAGCAATAGGATATAATCATGATATGTCATGTATATTATTTGCAACATTGAAATAATTTGTTTATTATAACTTCATGATATGTATTGATTGAAATTCCAAAAGTCAGTTTTTGAATAACTCAATTTAATTGTCATAGATCATTAAAAATCACTGCAAACTAGTCATAGACATTAATATCTACAGTAAAGAATTCAAAGTAAACCAGAGTATCTGGAGGAAAGAGCGCAAAAAACACCAAAAGAGCAAATAAATTAGTCACTATGTAGCAAAAGAACTTAACACTTCTCAAAGTCAGAAGCTCAAATGCTCAATAAATATAAGAAAAAAACTGCCCAACAATCTTAACAACTTTAACCACAAGGAAAATGCTAATTAAAACTGCACTGCAGTTCCATCTACCCAAGACAGAATGGCTGTCAAGATAAAAACAAGTTTAGGCATGGATGCAGGAGAATAAGAAACATTTATCTACTATTTGGTGGCTAGTCCAGATACTATGGAAACAGTATAGTGGTTTACCAAAAGGCTAAACATATAACTACCATATGGTCTGGCTAAACCACTCCCAAATACATACCCGAATGAATCAATGCCAACTCACAATACATTTACCTACAAAGCCATGCATACATATTGTTGCTGGCAGTATTTAGAACAGCCAAGTCAGGAAATCATTCTAGGTGCCCATCGACCAATATGTGGAAAAAGAAAATGTGATCTCTTTATTTTATCCATCCATAAAGAAAAATAATACTATTTTCAGGAAAATAGATGAAAATGTCTGCCATTGTGCTATGCCAAATAAGTCAATTTCACAAAGATAAACATCATTTTTCTTTGTGAATTTATTTGGGGGGTGGTAAAATGATACTATGAGAAATATGAAAGCAGAGAAAGGGAAATAAAAAAGGATAATGAATATACGAAGAGACTCCAATTCAAATATATTGTATCCGTGTATAGAAACATTATAACAAAGCCAGTACATTGAACTGTTACCGTGTATTGCTTTAAACATAGATTTTTGTATTAAAAGATTTCAACCACAAAGGGTCAAGCTAGAAGCGATTACTATCCCCTGAATTCAAATGGGGTTTGGTCTTGTGTGCACAGACAACTGAGGCTAGGGAGGAAGGAGAGGGTGCTGCTTGCTCCTTTCCTCACACATCACAGATGTCAACAAATGCAGCTTACTGACATTCACTCTCAAATAGGACCCAAAGCACCTTGCCTGCCCTACTATCCCTCTGCAGCTGAGACACAGAAGGATTTGGATTCTGTAGTCTCTGGTTCTATAGACATAGTATAGAAGATGTATTAGATTATTAATTATCATCTTAGATAATTAGATAATAAGAATATGTATTAATAATCATGTTAGAAGAACAAATTATGCTTAATTAAAAGGTTCACATTAAATAAGAAAAAATAAGCTTTACAAAGTTTATATAAAGTTTAAATGAGATAGAAGCTACATCTTTCAAATAATACAAGCATCAAACTTGGTATTTCTGAACCGGGTGTGGATAACTCATCGTGTTTTCAAATGAGTAAATGAACTCAACTTAGATACTCAGGACCTGCATTAAGTTTTGGGGGGGTTTTGTGGTTTGTTTTGCTTTTTGTAAAATACAATGCACTCAAATTGACCAATTTATATGTTTATTCTGTCCTTGGGATATCATATATATTCAAGGGAGGGGTAGCTTTTTAAAAATTATTTGAGAATTTCATATATGAGTACACTGCAATTAGATCATTTCCACTCCTTCTCCTCTGTTCAACTCCTTCTGTTCCCCACTTCCTCTTGAATCATGACCTCTTCTGCTGCAGTTATGGTTATACATACATATCTAGCAAAAGTGCACATATACACACAACCTACTGACTCAGTATTGCCCACATGTACAAGTGTCTACAGCTGACCACTATGAATAGTGGGCTCTTCTGTGAGGAAAACTGATTCCCCCTCAGCATCCACTGATTGCCTGTAGCCTTGTGAAATTTTGTTCCACCCATCTTGGCATGTTGACTGGTATAGTTATTGTAGGTCTTGTATAGATAATCATAATGTTTCAGATTTCAAGGATGCAACATCCTTGTCATGTCCATAACACAGTATAGCATAGTATTCATCTAATATTGAGTCTTTAACAATTTTAATGTTCCTTCTTCAATGTTATTTGAGCTTTAAGTGTAGGGGTTGTGTTAGAGATAGCCCATTTTGGGGTTGGTCATGATGGTCACTGTTCTCTGCCTTTTGACTAGACATGAATCTCTGTAATGGTCTCTGCATTCTGCAAAAGGAAGCATCTTTTATGAGAGCTGTATTGCCTATCTACATCTTATATGTGGGCTGTACTACCTGTGGCAATGAGTATAAGAACTGAGAATGTAGTTAGAGCTTAGATGTTTTGGGAAAGTGACCAGAGCAGGTTCTCTTCCAGGGTCCATGACCTCTTCAGTCAGTGGTTCTTAGTTGGGTTTACAGTAGCATGAATAAGTTTCCTTCTATTGAGCAGGCCTTTGATTCAATTAAACATCTTTGGTTAGCCCAGGATATAAATGCCACTATTACACCATTGGGACTATCTTTCCAAGCAGTTAAACTGACTATTTTTGATGCAGGCCCCAGTGGTGTGTGTGTGTGTGTGTGTGTGTGTGTGTGTGTGTAACAAGGAAAGAACTTCCTGTCTTATTTGCATCCAAAGTTGTGACTGGCTTGGTTAGTGTTCTGTGTTAATTTCGGTAAGAATCCAGATGATCCCTGACACAATTCTAACAGATTATTTTTAACAATTTTTGTGAAACTACAATTCATTAACAAAAAAATATATCAAAGGAGGAAGAGAATTCTCATTTCTGCATCATCTCTGGTTGTGAGGCACAGGATTATCTTGGGAAGG